TATCGTGATTTCTCATCGTGAAAGTACAAAAGATCGAGAATGTTCCCAAAAATGATTGTAAGCCTCGTGGCTGCTAATAGCGATCCGTGATCATGTGAAGCGCCTTTGAACTGTAAGGATATCGGCGCTATATAAATAATACGTATTATTATTATTAAAATGCTTAGGTTCCCGAGATATTTTTATTCTTAACTTAAGCTTAAAAGTTCGTATTGTGTCACGAAATAGCGGTTTCGCATCTGAATCGATAATTTCCAAGATGGTCACCTACTCGTCAAATGCCCGCCCGTCTGAGTCAAATTCCCCACTGTACGGAGGTAAAGTCGTGTCAAATGCCCGGGGTTTGCCCGGGGGGGAGATGGGCACCTTTGGAATTGACTCATAGACATTAGTATAGTGAGCCTGTGCCGTTTGGAATATTGTTTACCAACGATAAATCACGTGATACTGAGACAAGTATATCTATTATTGAATAATAAACATCATGGATAATAAAAGGACTTCTTTTATTATTCATGTAAATGACTTATTCTCGTAAAGATTGGGCTCCCTGTGTATTATTGCGTCATACTATTAGCAAAGGTCGCAAAGGACTGGCGCGAAATTTGTCTGTCGCCATTTTGATTTTAAAAAAGGAATGCCGGCCAAGACGACTGAAATAAACGATAAACCTTATTAAAGATTGGTAAGTGGAGTAAATTACTAGTAATGTAATTTGGCAATGATATGATGACTAAATTTTGATTGTGTACAACACCATTTTAACTGTCTGACACCTTTGATGAATAGTTTTCACTCGACATATGCATTGTTTATTGAATCTCAAATTAAGTTACTTCAAATGCTGTGGACATATATGTTTGCCTAGATTTAAAGGGCTTCATGAGTGACAATTCGTTGTTACAATTTGCCTTGTTCTACTTTTGCTTTGTACGACTTTCGAACATTCGAATCGCCCTTCTTTTTCAAGTTTGTGTTCTAATTGATAGTGTCTACAGACATACATTTCTGGCGAGTACTAAGTGGCTTTTCAAAAGTGTTCTTTAAATATGACTTGTAAGAAAATGTTTTTGTACTGAGCCTTGCTGAGCTTTCTCTGGGGCAGGGCAGGGAAGGGCAGGCAGGGTTGGGAATTTGGTCGTGTCTCATTGCCTTTATTTTAAGGAAATTCATTGTTTTATTGAGTTCTGATGATCAGTGTGTATCCATTGATACCTTTGACAATTAATTTTCACCGAGGGTCAGGAATTTGAATGAAATTTCAAAATACACCTTTTCAGTTGCTCTTAGCAAGTTAAATATTCTTTTGAATTTGCTAATTGAGACTATTCATATCAATGTGTGCATTGCTCACATTCCCACAAATTCAAAAGAATATTTAACATGTTGTCGAGGCCTAAGAGCAACTGAAAAGGTGTATTGATAGCATATCCCCACCAAATGAACTGAAACTATTAAGAACCACACAAGGTAGTATATATTATTACTGAAGTACCTTCATTCTTAACGCACTTCTTTAAACTTCACCAAAACAACTTGACTCACATCACTCTTCTAAGTCCTATTTTCTGAGGCATCAATTCTGACGATTTTATGGAAACGCTCTCAAATGATTCAGACTTTATAATATATTAATGTTCTAAAAATATACATTATTAATCATGTGACTTGTAGAAGTCATGACTCAGCATGACTCAATATTTTTTTATAATTATATTATATTTATTTTTTTTTATCAATAGACATATTTTTTTAGCAATTTCTACACTTGAGGTGTGTGCGTCCTTGTGCACTGATTGGCTGATAAGTGTGTCATTAAGAGGTCATTCACACTGCTGGAGTCACATGCTTAGTAGTCTAGGTTTCATCTAGTGTATATTTTTTTAAACATTTTTTTAGAAAATAAAACAGATATATGTGGGCTACCCATTACTAAATTATTATTGTAAAAGAAAAGGATCATTTTTGCAAATTTTTAGACTAAAAATGTGTTTAAAAAACAAATTGCACTCACTTTTTTGGTATCCTATAACCCTATTGACACACTCTTGATGTCATGAAATGTTCAAAACTTTGTAGTGAACCCAGAACTATGCTCAATATTTGTTAAAAGTTGTTTCTGAAACGAAAACATACTTAAAAAGTATGATCTTTTTTCTTGGGACATCAGTTGGGCAGGATATCATGCTCAAGTGGGATTATTGGCTCATAATTAGATATAAGCAGAAATGAATACTCCAGTTTCGAGATCTTATTTGTGCAGTCTTAACCTCGGAAGCATGTAATATATTCTTTTATTCAATAGAGAATCTATTGTAATGCAAACACTCTGTGTACAAAAAAGATAATAAAAATCTATGCTTGATTGAAGCTAAGCTTGCACAAAAGAGAATTCGAAACTGGAGTATTGCTGCTTTTTCACGAACATATTCAAAGTTACATGAATTTCTCACATTTCCTTCTTAGATTGTAAATACCGGTATGGCACATCAAATGACTAAAGAGGAGATTATTGAGGCAATGGACATAGCCTTCCTTAAATCGGCCTTAATAAATGTAAAAGAAGATGTCTTTACAGAGTTATGTAAAGAGTACAATAAAGCAACTGATGGTAAGGGGCAGCAAGGAGCTCCTCCAAACTGTTCCAAACTAATTGACAATGGGGATCATGTCTCCCCTGGAGTCGATCCAGGTTTTAGAGAGGCATGTACAAGTACAAGTGAAGATCGACAAGCAGTTCAGGCAACAGAAAATGATGATTATTCATTTGCTAACAGCCACCAGGTAAGCCTGGAGATAACCTTTTTGTTTGTACACTTCAGTTAGCTGTCATAGCAGACATAATTAAATTACTTTTATGATATTATTATCTATAAAATCACCTTTATTGGCTAGGTCCTGTTCCTTAATTTGTTCTATAATTTCTATTATTTGTTGTTGTTATTATTATTTTGACCAATAATATGTGGTGTTATTTTAACTAATGAAAATAACATTCTCTATTTTCTGGAGGTAAATAAAGCCTACCTTGCTTAGAGATACAAATTGTATCTTTGAGTGAGAGATTTTTTCAACACTTGAAGATAAATTCCATATCTCCATGCACCCATGTAATATCTTTCATTTCTTTATAATTATAATTGTCATTGTTTATTTATCTTCAGTCAACAATAGATTTCCTAAAGAAAAAAAATAAAGAGTTGTCTGCAGCTAATTGCAGACTTGAAGACAAGTTGCAATTTGTTTCTCAGGTTTGTCTTAACGTAATTCACTTAAAGTTATAATATTATTTCACATATTTTTGAATGTGAATGTATTTAAAAATTGTAGAAAGCTAATTATTCATATAAAATATGAGTGGAAAACCTTTAAGGGCATATAAAACTGCAAGATGCAAGTGAGCAGTTTTCAAGGCCTTAGGCTGCATTCATTATGTACAGAGGGATCTGAAAATTTAGGAAAAAAAGTCATCAAAAAAGTGGAAAAAATCAAATTCTAACATAATCTAAGCATATTTTTCTAAAGCATTTAAGATAAAATAACTGTATCATTTTAAGAGAACATCAAATCAGGATACATATTGAAGTAATTAGCTACTCATTAGATTGTCTAAATAATTGGCCCATGTAATGTTTTGTCATTCCCCATTATATTTAATCTTGACTCATTCTATCACATTTACTTGATTAGAAATTACAAGAATTAAAATGCAAACTTGCTGACTTTGAAAAGGAAAACCTGGGGCTAAAACAAAGAGATGTTGGAGGAGTGAATCTTGAGACTTTTCATGTGAATCAGGTGATGTTTTAATCAGCCATAATTCCTTCATATCAATCATTGTAGAATAAAAAGTGTTGAAATTTAAATATATTTTCAAAATATTTTTTTTTAATACTTGTTGTCAGTAGCACAGAAGTGCATGTTGGCTTAAGCACAGATTTTAATTCATATTTTCATACTTGAGCTAAATGGAAGTGTCTTGTTCTTGAATAAATTTTGATATAATTGTTTATAGGATAAATTGATTTCATTGAAAAAAACCAACAATCTGCTGAAGCATGTAAGTATATGAGAGATTAAATTAATATTCAACAGGACTTGTTGAATGATGGATATTTTCTTCAACAGGATCTTGAAAACAAAACAAGTGAATGTGAAAACAACACAAAAATCATGTGGCAGCTCCATGGGGTATGATAAACCAATATCATTAATCAAGTTCTTGAACCACATGTAGTTGGAAAATTTTGTAAATATACGTATTGTTGTGGGTGTAATAATGTTTGCTTGCTTTTGGGGAATTTCAAGTGAATTGGTGAATTGGTGTCTGTTATTAGAGCTCTCAGCCAAGGAGAAAAGGTATCTGAATCAGAAAAATAACTTCTGTTGTTTATTCTGCTATTCAGAGATTTCTAAGTTGAAGAAAGAAGGTTGTTTATGGCAGTGTCCACTCAAAATTGTAATGATAATTGAACATGGTTTTAGAAAACTGTTGATTTCTTAGAGCTGACTGCTTCTTTAGAGCATCTGTAAGTGAAGATTCAGTTGCACAATGATCGATATCATAATTACCTTTTCTTTCAGTCACTCAAGAAATTTAAAGAAGATACCAAAATTATCTTGGAAGTGGTAAGTGTATGTTACTCTTTTTTCTATAGATATATTATTCAAAGGATTTTGAAAGTGCCATAAGAATATAACAGCTCACTCTCATGCTTATATATAATATATAAATAAAGGAAAACACCAAATTGTTTTGTAAGCATACATTTTAATTTCATTTGGAAAAATGTTGTTAGTTTAGTGTTGTTGCTCCCTTATTGTGTTGCTTATAAACGTTTTTTTTCCCACTGTGAAAACTGTAGGGTATAATATTATTCTTATACTCCTCAGACCAAATTGTACTTAGAAGGTCATCTTGCGGCTAAAGAGCAAGAAATTCTGTTCCTTAAAGAGGTGAATATTTTGCTTAATGTTATTATTGTTGATAGGAGAGAATGAAGAATGCAAGAAATAGAAGAAACCTTTAGATGTCTTCAATATAAGTGCATTGGAATTAGTCTATATTATGCACAAAAATGATACCACAAAAATACCTATGAAAATATGAAATTACCGCTGTTTTGCGTTGCTATATGACCAGTCCAGATACCGGTACATCTTCACAACTGTAATTAGCAGGAGACTAATGCTTTGGTGGACCCTGAAAGTTTCACTGTAGTAGTCTTAGCTAATACTCTATTGTGAAATCATGTTGTGGAGTTTTAAATAGTATTATGCAAAAGATAGTAACTCAATTTTTGTAGATGTTGGTTTGTTGAAGAACATGTAGAACTAACAAATACAGTGAATCTATAATTCTGTAGATTTAATACAATTTTAGGGAATGGATAAAAAAAATCAATTCCTGTTGGAACAGAGCTGTTTGCCTATAAAAAGGGCTTCTAGGAAACAGATTAAATCATTCCACAATATCATAACTCAGTGTTTTATTTTCTTAGGAATTGAAGAAGAAAGATTCCTGATTTTAAAAATCAGGTCAGTATAATGTAGAAAATGAATGGCATACTTAGTATTGAGTGCACATTGAGTCAGCACGTTCATTGTTTGCTAAGAGCAGTGTTTGTGCATATCCTTAAACTCCTTGAGCTGGAATTGATAATACATTTTCAAGGGCACATACAACTCCTTGGAAAATGAAAAACTTGAGAAATGTCTTTGAAAACTTCTTGAATGTCAAGGATAAAATAGCTCAATAAAACCTGGATTTGATCCATTATATTCTTCAATATGGTGCTCCTTATAGAATATCATTTTGATCCTTCAATGATGAATTGCAATCCTACACAAACTGTGTAGAGCACTTATGTTAGAAGGATTAGCTTAGGCATTTTTATAAAGCCTGGCTTTGAAACAGATTCTGAAATAAATTTTTCTGAATTTGCTATTCTTTTACAAGTCTAGATCATCAAATGGTCTGCTGAAGTTAACGTCTAAAATCATAATCTGGTTTCCACTGGAGAGACTACCAAGGGAGTACACCCTGACTTAGCTTCATCTCATAATGTGGTTCAACAATGCTTGTGAGGTGTCATTTTTACTATCACTACCAGCTGTGAGATATATAGTTATTGCTATTTTAAAATGGTTGCAAAGCAAATATTGCAAAGCAAGTTATTTAAATGGACTGCATGCAGACTTCAAGTCAGTGTGTTACACATTTGTATTTATTTCTAAAAAAAGAAATGACTTAAAATGACACTATAACAAACTAAGATCCTAGAGTAGTGTGCTTTGTATGTCCATGAAATAAATTGTGAATAGCTAATTATACCTAATAGGTCTCTATGGTAACTATTAGATACTTTCAATAGGGATATCAATTTTGAATTTATCTATGCATTTTACTAAGATGGGCCCAGTTGAGTGACAAATAGTGATTCAATAAAAGAACTAGTGGCTATTTACATTGTTTCATGGACAAGCACTCTATGAGCTCATCAGATTTTTGAACTGATCTCATGATATCCCAGGTAAAGACTGGAATTTCCTGTAGTAACATTGAGTACACTCACAATGGCCATAAATTCATTAATGTAACGTGAGATGTCACTTAACAGCACACCACAGGAATTCCATACCGATCCACAAACATGTCTTTTCTGAATGTTTGTGCATTTTGTTACTTGTAGAGTGTATATTTTGATACATTGATAAGTGAATTATTTAATATATTTTCATGTATGTTATTAATATATGAAAAAGTATTATACAGTATGGTGACTAGTGCATCAAAAGACACTGTGCAAATAGAATAATTATTTAGGTACAAAGTGGATATTGCTATATTTATGAAGACATATTTTTAATCTGTACGTAAATAGCCGACTTGCGAGTTTTGACTCAGTAGTCACACGCAAAGGAATCAAGACGAGGCGCCGTACATAAAGCTCAGTCATTCGTGAAAAGACAATAGGCCTTGTCTTGATTCTTTTGTGTTTGACAACTGGAGTGAAATTCACAAATCTGCTATTGTATTACAGTCATATGCAAAAATTAGAATGTCATTGTATATCATTATATCAGAAGCACCATATGGTTAATCAATCAAACTCTTTCAAATGATTTAGTTGCATTCTTTAAAGAATATTACACTTTAAAAAAGGTTTAATTTTAAAATTTGATGTTTTATAATATATGCTGGTGGTCAGAATTTCTTCAAACGAGTGCATTTATAGAATTAATTATAATAGTGATGATTTTTTGTTAATTATATGTTTTTAATCAAAATATTTTAGCAAAAGAATTGAATTGTTTTATCAATATAATGCCATTATAATTGCATTTCTAAGAATTAGAATATTATTATAGACATAGATATACTAAGGTAATAAAATATGTGTAAGTTAAATAGGTAAAATAAATATTGCTTATTATTGTAAAAACGCTATATTAGAGTCATTTTAAAGATGACTATAAATTTATTTAGAACACTTTATAGGCCCTAACTAGCTTTAACACAATCTTTTGGTAATGAAGAACGTTAATGAAATAAAATGCACAAAGTGCAAAACAATATGTTGACTTACTTGGTTCTGGGTCATTAGACATTCAGAAGAATTCCTGAATTATTTCATTATAATGTAATGCAGATGTACGCTTTTTTCAGAATCTCTTTATATGTAAGATGACATTTAAAAATTCAACGTTTATTACAATTTATATCAAAATTCAGAAATTTCTGAATTTCTCTCTTCATAATTGACATTACAATAAAAAAGTTCAAAATTTCTGAATTGACACAATTCAGAAAATTTCGAAAGCTCAGTAAGGCAATTAAATAAGAAAAGTTCAAATTTCTGTTCAGAATTGTTTGACTGAGGTTTAGAAATTTTCTGAAGTATTGAAAGTTCAAAAATTTTCCGTTTTTTTCAATGATATATATTCTAGAGATAGAAAAATTCAGAAATTTCTGGATTTTTTTATAGGAATTTCTTAACTCACAAATATGAAAATTTAGAATCAGTTTAGCATCATTTTAGTACTAATGCAAAAATTCAGAAATTTTCCAAATAATTATATGAATTCCCGTTTCTTTGTAAAGATCGGCATATAAAATTGCTCGTAATGCACTAGTCAAAGTAAACCCCAACCCCTCCCAACCCGGGACAGGGATGGGATATGTGGGGCATTTGAAAAATGGACTTGGCAAATGTTGGTAAATACCCCACATCGTGGGGGAGAATGGGAAATCAAATCTCCGGCCCCCTGGGGACAAAAACCAAAACAGAGAGAAAACTATTAGAATATAACTGTGGGGGGTCCATGACATTCATAGGGCCACAGGAAGCCCAAGTTGCATTTGAAGAGTTTCCAGGCCTTTTCTAATATTATTTGACCAATCCCGACTTTATGCCCCACTACGCCCCGACTATATTAAAACTCTCGTAAAATATTCACTTCATCCCCACCCCCTTGGGCATCATTGCTGGTCAAATGTGATCCCAAGCCCCACATAGTCCTCACCCTTTCCCGGGTTGGGGTGTGGGGATTTACTTTGACTAGTGCATAAACTTGCAACAAAAGCTCCGTTCGACTTAAAATTTCTAAATGACAAAGAAAAACTAGAAAACTGCAACAACTTTCAACATATATTAGATTTATTTTCCATCCATGATGTAGACAAGTTTGATGAGCGCCAATTTTATAAAAACATCGTGCAGAACAACGATATAGAAATGAAAGAAAATTAGAACAGAACAACACCTCTGTTATGTAGTGATAACAATTGGAATCTTTTATTGTATAAGAAGCTTTCTTCATCAAACAAAACAAACCATCCTTAAACACTGGCCTCCGCGCCTCTAGAGAATTAACTTTGTTTAATTAATTCATCTATCTACATGGACCGCGGAGCAGGGGGGGCTTGGGGGCTACAGCCCCCCCAATAATTTTTCCGACATTTTGTATTTTCTTAAATAAAGAAGCGTTGAGCCTCCTTATGAAATTTCACTATATATATTCGATAAAAACTGAGCGTGAACAATTAAAATTGAAGCTTTTTAGCGAAGTCTTTAGGATTTATTGATAATATCGCTGACCGTGTGTACGTACGGTAAAAATGTCTTTGATAACGCCTCGAAACGCTGGAAATGACATTTCCGAGAGTGTAAGATTTCAAAAATTTCCGAACCCCCCTAGTACTGACCTCCTCGCCGCTAGCCCCCCCAAACAAATTCACGCTCCGCGGTCCCTGACCTAGCATATATTGTCTTGTCTTTGCACTTTTGTAACTATTAGCCTGATGATGGTTTACTTTTGCAATAAAACCGAAATATTGCTCTATGTAATCTACTATTCTATTCGATGTTGAATATCAACTAGAATGAAT